GGTCTTTGTGAAGTCATGGTGTGGGGCCCTGTGATGTCACAGGAATTGGGAACATAGTATTTTTCCATGCATGTGTGAGGGAGTGAGCTAGGCATTGTGGGTTCCCCGTCTGAGCTCCTAAGCAAGTATATTATGTGTCATGTTGGACAGACACAGGAAGCCAGTGAGCCCTGGTGCCATTTTCAGACAGTTGGAGTTAGGTACCCAAACACTATGGTCACCCCGTAACAATAAACAAAACTCGCTCCTACCCTTCCACCACGGCTCCTCAAATTTGTTTGCCTGGCCTGGATATTCAGGGGAGCCCAGCCATTTCCTGGCACAGCAGCTCTTTCTCTGAGACCTGGCAAGTCTCATCATCATCAACACCATGAGCACTCCATGGACAGCTCCTTGCAGAGTACAAGTGGGGAGAAAATTTGTCACTTCAAAGAAGCTTACAGTCCAACCTCTCACAAAAGTGCCACAACCGAGGAAATAGAGATGGGCAATGATTTGGAGATGAGCATACGTAAAAATTCATGAGGATCCATGCCATGATAGATGGCCAAAATACACTGGTACTGCAAAATCTGCTGCCTGAGGGCAGTGGCTGCCTCTAGGCCATTATACTGTGACAGAACTGGCTGCCTTCTGCTACACTTTCTGTTCTTCCACAAAAGCTAGCTTGGGAAAGATCTCCAAGGCCTGGAATGGTCTATTGGAAACTTTGAAGATACCCTACTGCAAAATCTGCTGCCTGAGGGCAGTGGCTACCTCTAGGCCATTATACTATGACAGAACTGGCTACCTTCTGCTACACTTCCTGTTCTTCCACAAAAGCTAGCTTGAGAAAGATCTCCAAGGCCTGGAATGGTCTACTGGAAACTTTGAAGATACCTGGTTGAGGCCTAGAGATGTCCAACAGCAGCCCAACTGAGCCCTAGCAATGTCTGCTGCCTGAGGGCAGTGGCTACCTCTAGGCCATTATACTATGACAGAACTGGCTACCTTCTGCTACACTTCCTGTTCTTCCACAAAAGCTAGCTTGAGAAAGATCTCCAAGGCCTGGAATGGTCTACTGGAAACTTTGAAGATACCTGGTTGAGGCCTAGAGATGTCCAACAGCAGCCCAACTGAGCCCTAGCAATGGCTTAGTGCTTGAATCTGATGTCATAAAAGGATGCACTTATTTCTACCTTTGCTATGGTGAACTGCAGAGTGGCAAGTTGACTGAGGAGGCAACAGGGCCTGGTAGAAATACTTGGCATCAGAAATCACAACAGCATAGCATGGAGAAGACAATGGAGTCCTGTACAATCAGCCAAAGAGTAAGGAGGGAGAAGTCAGGACTAATTAAATTTAGGATGAAAGGTAATTTCTAGCACTTGCCATTTGGTGTCATGAGATATGAGTTAGAAGAGAGAAATCCTACTGTGTATAAGCACAGTAAACAGCTAAGTTTTATTATACGGTCATAGACCCAGTAAACAGGATTCAACCAGCAAAATCAAAAGATGTGGGTGCCTGAAACAAAAAATTATGGGCCAGCACTACATTTGGCATGGACGTAGCAGAAAGTCTGCTCTTGCTGTGTGAAATTTGGGGAACTCTAGCAAATGGTTTTTAAGTTGTGATTTTTAAAAAAAACAACTAATAATATACAGCAGATGACTCATTTCCCTTTGTGGCTTTAAATGACCTCAAAGCACATTTTACCTAATTTACTCATGAGTATGTTTATCCAGTTTACTCGTAAGTTTGTGAATCCACATGATTTCATATGATTTTTAGATATTGTCTTCTCTTTACCAATGTCAGATCATAGATCCTATTTGCACCCACCGACAGCATCACAGAAATCTTGGATCCTTCAGTACCTGGCTTTGCAGTGGTGCAAAAACATGGAGATTATGCATAGATTCTCATGGATCCACATGATTTTTCTGCAGGATTACCCCCAAATCTCATAGGCCCCATTTGTGCCCATAGACTACAACACAGATATTGTGGGTCCCCAAGTGCGTGGCTTTGAGGTGGCACAAAAACATGCATCTGAAGCATGGATCCTCATAGATCTATACGATTTTTACACAGGAACACCCTCAAACCACTCTCCAAACATAAGCCACATCTGTGCTCACAAACTACACCATAGAAATCATGGGTCTCCCAGCACATGGCTTTGCAGTTGTGCAAAAACTTGGATCTAATGCATGGATCTTCATGGATCCACATGATTTTGATGTAGAATCATCCACAAACTACTGTCCAGACATAGGCCCCATTTGTACCCATAGATTACAACACAGAAATCATGGGCCCAAGATCATGGCTTTTCAGTGGTGCAAAAACACAGATTCAAGGCACAGACAATAGCAATAATTGTAACAACCTTAGAACTGTAGAGCTAGAAGGAACCCTATGGATCATCAAGTCCAGTCCCAGACAAGAAGGAAATGTGAGGAACTGAACTCCCAACCTCTGGCTTCACAGCCAGAAACCTAAACAACTGAGCTATCCAGAAGTTCTTGGATCCACATGATTCTGATGTAGGATCATCCCCAAGCCACTGTCCAGACATAGGCACAATCTGTGCCCATAGATAATACCACAAAAATCATGGGTTCCCTAGCACATGGTATTGCAGTGGTGCAAAACATGGATCTGATGCACAGATCTTCATGGATCCACATGATTTTTAACTAGGATGATACCCCAAACCACTGTCCAGCCACAGATCCCATTTGTGCTCATAGATTAAATCACAGAAATCATGACTCCAGACACATTCTGATTGGTCAGAATGCTAAGCTACAATATAGTTCAGTCATTTAGAATGTTCACAATTATATTATACATTTATTCTATTTTCAATTCTATTCTACAGTGGGCCCTCGACTTATGCATGGCTCTACCTGCGGACTTTTCGAGTTGCGGACTTCTCCGGCCGCAAAATTTTACTTCGACTTGCACCTGGAGAATCGACCTACGGACCAGAAGGGGGAGGCGGGCAAAGCACCAAATTCAAATTTGGCCCTTTCCCCGCCTCCCCCTTTCGGTCTGTAGGCCACTGACTGTGCCTCTGGATGCTTTCCAGGGCTTCTCCGCCGCCATGGGAGGCATCTCAGAGGTCCCCCCCTCACTGCTGATCGTACTTCGATCGGCGGTGAGGGGGACCTGCGGAGGCCTTCCAGGGCTTCTCCGCCGCCATGGGAGGCATCTCAGAGGTCCCCCCCTCACTGCTGATCGTACTTCGATCGGCGGTGAGGGGGACCTGCGGAGGCCTTCCAGGGCTTCTCCGCCGCCATGGGAGGCATCTCAGAGGTCCCCCCCTCACTGCTGATCGTACTTCGATCGGCGGTGAGGGGGACCTGCGGAGGCCTTCCAGGGCTTCTCCGCCGCCATGGGAGGCATCTCAGAGGTCCCCCCCTCACTGCTGATCGTACTTCGATCGGCGGTGAGGGGGACCTGCGGAGGCCTTCCAGGGCTTCTCCGCCGCCATGGGAGGCCTCTTGGAGGTCGGCTGCCACTGCTGCCAACAGCTTTCCCAGGGTACACTGGGCCTACCCGGGGAGGGCTTCCCCCGGTAGGCCTGGTCTACTCCCTGGGAAAGCCTGGTAGACTGGGCCTACCAAAGGAAAGCCTGCGTCGGCGGGGGCACAGGACCTCCGAGACGCCTCCGGCAGCAGCGGGGAAGCCCTTGGAGGCCTCGGGCAGCGGCGATGGCAGCATCGAGGGACCTCCAAGAGGCCTCGAGCAGCGGCAATGGTGTTGGCAGGGGACCCCTGGAAGGCTTCGGACTGGTAAGGTGGATTTATTTTCATTTTTTCTGTTGGGGGTATTTTTTCTTCGGGCAAGCCTTCCAGGGCTTCTCCGCCGCCATGGGAGGCCTCTTGGAGGTCAGCCGCCGCTGCTGCCGACAGCTTTCCCAGGGTATACTGGGCCGGATTAATTCCATAAGTCGAGGGTCCACTGTATTTTGTAACCCAAGTTACTCATATTTGCTTGAGTGAGAGTTCAGGCTTCACTTGATTGAGCACCCACTTTTCTGCTTTTCTGGATGTCTTTAGTACCTCTACCAACACCATGACTTGATTTTTGTCCCTGTCTTTCTTCACTATCTTCCTTTCACATAGTAGCATGTATGATTTTGACCTTGTTTTCCAGTGACATTCTTTGCTAACTTCAACCTCTTCCTTTTAATTTCAAAAAGCAAAGGGACTTATTTTAGAAAGCATGCACACAACATATCCACAGAGGTTTTGGTCCAATATAGCTTTTCTTCCTCAGCTTGTCTAACTCAAAGCAAGGGATATGAACACAACTTTCCAGTCTGCATTTCGTGGAGTGGGCATGGCAACGTTAGTTTAACTGAGAGGTTAAAGAGTATGTATTAGAGATGGTCATGAATCTCAGTTCAGAGGTTTATGCCGCTTCATCAGCATGGCACCACAGATGCCACACCTTTGGTCCCCCCCACAAGCTCCGCCACCTATCAGCCAGTGCACGGCAGTGGTGCCTGAGGACTCCTGTTCAACACCTTGTCCATTAGCCTGTCAAGTGTCTCAATATTATAGAATCACAGAATCATGAAAATAGACAGGGATATGAATCAAAATATGTCTGCCAAGTGGCTGTCTAAATTTTTCTTGAATGCCTCCGGTGCTGGTGTGCTCATCACCTCTCTAGGTGGCTGGTTCCATTATTGTACTGCTCCAACTGTTTGGAAGTTTTTCCTGATATTCTACTGAAATCTGGCTTTCTGTAACTTAAGCCCCTTGTCACATGTCTTGCACTCTAGGTTTATGGAAAACAGATCCTGCTCATCCTCTGTATGACAGCCTTTCAAGTATCTGAGAAGTGCTATCATACAGTGGTGCCTTGCTAGACGGTTACCCCGCTTGATGACAAAATTGCTTTACGATGGGTTTTTTGTGATCGCTTTAGCAATCACAAAATGATGGTTCCAATGGGGCTCTACGATCACCCACTTTAGAGCACTTCGGAGGCTTTTCCTGCACCGTCAGGAAAAGCCTCCAAAGT